TTTAATGAAGGCATTAGAAAGTTCTTCGGCGAAGAGTCACATCTACTAAATTAACATAGAAATCACTCTGAAAGACATGAGTGTCAAAACGAGAGCAAAGGAGAGGGGGACATACTGGAGCTACTGTGCAGATCTTTTTTTTTTATAAAAACTACACATACACATTTGGGTACCCAGTGAATAAATATAGTATGAACCCATATTTAGTAGGTTCAGTTAAAGAAATCATTCAAAAGGTTTAAGGAAAATAAGTTTCTTTGCTCTTTTGAGAAATTTTCGTACTTTTTTATACGTGGTATTGCATTTGGCGTCAGCGAGGTATTGCGACGAGCCAAGTAGGGTGCTTGACTTGGTTTTTCCAAACCGCTTTTCACCGTTTTTGTTTTTTGATATCTATAGGTGGTTTTTTCAAATCTTGATTTTTCGACTATCGAATAAACCGGATTTTTTTGTCGAACCCACCGGGTTTTTTCATATCATACAAATTTTGGCATCGAGGAGTGACCTCTATTAAAAAAAAGAACTATTTTTTATGTTGCTGGGACCAGATCATGGACGTCCGGAGTGGCAGTAGTACCTCTAAGCACTCTGCTACAGCAGCAAGGACACTACTCAAAACCGAAAAAAGTAAGAAAAAATGCAATAAAGTACTAAAAAAAGTTAAAATCAGGGCAAGCGTTAATTCTTCACTGATTTTTACTTGTTTTGCATTTGATCTAAAAAAAACTTTGCACTTATTTTGCTTTGCTCTTTTGTAAATGAAGGCTATCTTTACTGTTAATTATTTTATTGTAATTTTTGGTTTCATGACTTCATACCGAAATAAACATTTTCAATTTATGAAAACTATGTAAACAAAACTGGTTTATCAGAGTTTTTCTTTATTTCAACATCGGCAACCAGTTTTTTTTTCCAATTGCAATTTTTCGAATAACTCGAAAACCGGTTTTGAAAAAAATTGCGAAAAATCGGACACCCTAACGCCAAGCTACGATATGTAAATACATACATACAGTGACTCAAACTGCGGTGGACGTGGCTATTTTTTTAATATTCACATATTTTTCCAGTTAATTTTTTATAAAAACATTGTTCGTGCTATAAGTAGAACCCGCATATACATTAGGGTGGTCCAAAAAAGTCGGAATTTTAATGCCCTCACTCGTTACGATTGTTCTATACCGAAAAAACATACCTCTCAAAGTTTTCCATGTATTTTAAATGGTGTCCCAAAAAATAACTTTTTGAAACGCAGAATACTGATAACACCATTATAAATTATTTAAACGTATTTCGAAATAATAAAATATTTTGATTAATTAAAAATACATTTTCTTTTTAGGTAGAACCTGAGAGATTACTATACTTTCTACTTAAATTTTAGAAACTTGGACGATTCTTGAATTATAAGCTAATTATCTGCTCTTACAAGGGGCGCTACGAAAAATCTCGCCTAGAAGGCTCAACTTATCTGAAAGCATTTACAAAAAGGTAGCGCATATATGGTATATGCATGTATGTATGTATGTCTGAGGTGCAAATTAAATTCATTTACATAATCGTTCCCATAAAAATTCTGTGTAATATTAGCTGGATGTGCTTGCAGAAATACATACATATGTACGTAAGTATTGAACAAGTCCTTAGCTCCCTCCGACTATTCGGCATAAAATTATCATTAAGTTACACACGTGCCTCATAATCCGCAAAAAACAACAAATACGCCTAAAAAAAACACACTTTATTTAAATGAGGAAGAGGTAGCGTAAAAAATTGAAAAAAAAAAGTGGTATTCATAACCATTGGGAAATCGATCGAATACATATCGAATTCAATAATACCCTTAGAAGCAAAAGTTTATAAACTGTTGCACTTTAAGCTACATGCGAATTTAACTCTTTCTGCGCCCAAAAGGCAACGCTCTAATTTACCATAGCCCGCCCACACCTACATACAATAAATGCTAGCATAAATAGAATTTTCCTTTTGAAGTTCTCTGCTGCAGCAAGCGAATCAACAATGACCTGACCTACACTCATGTCAACTTAGTCGATAAAAGCATGCAGCAGCGTCAGAGGGAGGACGCATGGACGATGAATTGCGGCCAGCTAGACCGACAAAGGCAGTTATGGAAGTGGAAAAGCGGTGGGACAACAAAAACGGACGGCTAAATTTGGAAAAATTAGGAAACTTTTGTACTATCGCTTGTAGGAATCAGCAGGTGCGCTTCACTTGACACGTCGCTAGGATGAGTGGAGTGTACGTGCGCCACAACACGCCAAACACCGCAACAACACCCCCGCGTGTATTCCACTGGAAATGGGGCTCGTTTTTCCAATGTACTACAACTCAAACTAGACACACATATTTATGTATGTACATATATGCTTTAATGTACATACATACGTACATATGTATTTAATCTCCAGTTGTATGTGATTTGTTGGTCGGATGCCATGCGTTTCGTGAGAATTGAAGAGCCGCATGAGCGTAAGACTCTTCGGAGAGACCCACTGGGATGCGTAAAAATTGTGGGGGTATTTTTTCTAGTGGGTGGATGTCGGAGTAAATTTTCCAGCGTCTCAAGGACACTAAATGACATTTGGTCAGCTGATAGTAACGGTGGCGGATTTATTGTAAAATTTCTTAAATGAAATTTTTAATTTTCCTAATGGCAAATAACAATATTAAAATAAAGTCCAAAGATTTGAAGGCCGTCTAGCGGCACAGCCTACTTTGAAGGCTTCTAGAGTCCTATTAGGGCGGCCAAACTCAAGAGAGAAATGAAAAATTTGAGAAGATTACAGTCTATTTTAGCCGCCCGTCGCTGTTTGCCACTCTTCAGCTTGCCTATGGAATAATTTTGTACACATTTATTTACAAAGAAACATTTCCACTTACACAGAGAGCCAAATGAGAGTAAGAAAGCTGTCTATAGTATATAAATGTTGCTGCATCGATGGCGTGAGAATGTTCGCACGCGACCAAGACGATGAGGAAAAAAAAAACAACTTTCACTTCAAATACAGAATCAAAACAGAAAAACCATAAATGTTATTCACCTCCGGCAATGTGAATGGGAAGCATGCGAAGCAAATTGTGACTTCTTTTTGTTATTCATGTTTTCTCTTTTGATATGAGTGTTGCACTTCGGTTGGGTGCTACAGTGTAAATCCACATCCACTTTAGAGGTTTCTTAAATGGTTTTAATTATAATTTATAGTGCTTGTTTTACAGCTACCTATAATTAGCTTTTCTCTGCTTTACAAGTATACTGTAGTTCCACATGCTCCAAATTATCTTCAATAACAACTGGAACCACCACCGTTCCGTAACTGACTGCGGCGTCAAGACATGCAATCTTTAATAATTTATTGAAGGAAAAACAAAGAATTCGTATACAATGTGGACAAATGTCAAGTTGCCAAGCGGTGGGTCAAAGCAACGCCCTACCGAAATGCTGATCAAAGTTTTTGAAAATTTCAAAAGGACACGAATTATTAAAATTAGTAGCTGAGTTGAGCTGTAGCGCTGCGGTCATTCGTGAAAAAGTAAAAGAAATAGTTAGCTAAATATCATCATGGCCGAGGACCTAATGCTAAGTTCGTCTTCAAAGCACAAGTCTAAAACGCTGTGCTTTTACGGCGCCTGGGCCTGGATCGTAGACATTTTTCTCACCGTTTTCCTCATCGTTTTCACACTCTACATTCTGCGCAAAATCATACAAGGTCCATTCTACCGCAAGCGTAATCGCATCGATGAAAAAGTCGTCATTATCACTGGCTGCAGCGCGGGCATTGGCAAGGAGATCGCCCTGGAGCTGGCGCGGCGCGGTGCACGCATTTACATGGCTTGCCGCGATGCTGCGCGCTGTGAGGCCACGCGCCTCGAGATCATAGATGACACGGGCAACCAGCAAGTCTACAACCGCACACTCGACCTCGGTTCGCTGGAGTCCGTGCGTCAATTCGCTGCACGTTTTGTTGCGGAGGAGCAGCGTCTGGATATTTTGGTAAATAATGCCGATGTTATGACTACTCAACGTACCCTCACAGCCGACGGTTTTGAGTACCAATTCGGTGTAAACCATTTGGGGCATTTTCTACTAACCAGTCTACTGCTGGAGCGGCTGAAGGTAGCCGCACCGAGCCGCGTAGTCGTAATGAGCTCCTTCATGCATCTCTTTGGGCGTATAAACAAGGACGATCTGAACAGTGAGCTGCGCAAAACGAAAATTTTCGGCTCTTACGCAAACAGTAAATTGGCAAATATACTCTTTGCGCGCAAGCTGGCTAAATTGCTGGATGGTACGAGCGTAACGGTAAATAGCTGTAACCCTGGAATCGTGCGTACCGAGGCGATGTTTCGCAAGCAAAATCCGCGTTGGCTGTGGTTCATTGTCGACAAACTTTTCGGGCTGGTGGCTCGTACTCCGCTAGCAGGTGCACAGACTGCGCTGCGCCTGGCATTGGATCCCGACTTGGAACGATCGACAGGGGGCTACTACTCCTACTACATACGCTGGCAGCTGCCACCGTGGGCCACGAACAAAAAGATGACCGATTGGCTGTGGCGCGAAAGTGAGAAACTGGTCGGAATAAGCAGCGGCGAACGAATTCAAACGATCGATGTGTAATGAATAGTGTATTGCGGATGGAAAGGGCAGAGTAGCGAAACAATTTTCTTAATATAGTTAAAATTTGCATTAAATTAATTTATCTGATTCCGCAGAATAACTGTTTTGTTTATCATTCGTCGTAATACCTCTTCCGTTGAATGCTCACTGTAGCGTACCTCGTAGCCCAAATTTAAGTACTAATTACACACACGCCGCGAGAAAAACGACAACAGTAAACCTCTTTTGTGCTGTAATTTAGACGCGTTGTTTTGTGAGTGTCTCACAATGTAAAATCTGCAGCTCTGAGTGGCTTTCAAAGTCGCACAATTCACAGTAAAACTGGTATTTCATACACCTGTCTTTGTTTGTATCTCATTTCATCTCAATACGACTGCGGAATTAGTGTTTGCCGGTCGATGGAAGTCGTAGGCAGTGTATTAGCCTGTGGATTATTTAAAGAAAGCCACGAAATTACTACGCAGTGGAGCGAAATTCGAAAGTAACCATTAAATTTCGAACTCACTCGCGCAGAGTGGTGCAGTGACGACTATGAAAATCGGTCGTTGGCAGTTAGTTTGCCGCAGTGGTGCCTAAAAGAAAGTTGCTTTGTGAGTATACAGCGCAGGCGCGCAAAATCTCACTCAAGCATTCACTAGTAGATACTTTTCCATACAAACAGACAGACACCCACAGTGTACGAATATGTTCGATGACGTTGTGAGTCCTCTGGAAGACGAGGAAAAATCATTGTGCTTTCGCGGTCCCTGGGCCTGGCTAGTGCTCATCACCGTCTGTTGTATCGGCATCGCTTTGGTCATGTGGCTACTGCGCAAATGCGTGCAAGGCCCCTTCTATCGCAAAAAGACTCGCATCGATGGTAAAGTGGTAATCGTGACGGGCTGCAACACGGGCATTGGCAAGGAGACCGCCATGGAGCTGGCGCGACGTGGTGGCCGCATTTACATGGCCTGCCGCGATGCAGCGCGTTGTGAGTCGGCGCGCATGGAGATCATTGAACGCACGCACAACCAAAATGTCTTCAATCGCACACTCGACTTGGCCTCATTGTCGTCGGTGCGACAGTTTGCCGAGCGTTTCTTGGCAGAGGAACAGCGTTTGGATATTCTGATAAACAACGCTGGCATCATGGCCACACCGCGCAAGCTCACCGTCGACGGCTTCGAACAGCAGTTGGGTGTCAACCATTTGGGTCACTTTTTGTTGACAAACCTGTTGTTAGAACGCCTAAAGTCGACTGCGCCCAGTCGCATTGTGGTAGTGACTTCGGCGGCATACATCTTCGGGCGCATCAACAAGGAGGACTTGAACAGTGAGAAGCACTATTCGAAATTCTTGGGCGCCTATTGCCAAAGCAAGCTGGCTAACATCTTATTCACGCGCAAATTGGCCGAGTTGCTTAAGAATACCGGCGTGACCGCCAATTGCGTGCACCCAGGCATTGTGCATACTGAATTAGGCCGTTACAGTGTGGCGGAGCATTGGTACAAATCGATGTGGTTTCGCATGTTTAGTTGCTTTGTAAAGACGCCGCAGGCAGGGGCGCAGACCACGTTGCGAGTGGCATTGGATCCGGCGCTGGAGAAGTGCTCTGGCGACTATTATGCGGACTCGATGCGACTTCCCTTGCTGCCGAGGGCCAAGGACAAGGAAATGGCCGAATGGTTGTGGAAGGAGAGTGAAAAGCTGGTGGGCTTGCAAGGTGGAAACGCGGTGCAAACAATTGTCGTGAATCAATGAAGTAGGTACTAAAGCAAAGGAATGGTCGAAAGCGAGAAAAAGAGAGAGAGGGAAGTAAGGCGAGCTACAGGAAAGGAGATTATACGTAGTAACGATGTGTCGGTATATTTTCCGCTTATTTTTAGGTAAATTTTAAGCTTCTGTATATCTATACATATTAGAGGGCTGCATGAATTCATTCAAAAGGGCTTATGAAGTATTCATATACAAAACGAATGAATGATTTTGAATTGGAGTGAATACCTGTTCGGATATATGTGTCGACATTACAATATTCAAACAAAGTGAAAATAAATTGAATTGAATTAAATGACAATTTTTTGCATGAATATCCAAAAATATTTTTTCTATGCACATATGTTAAAACATACATATATATGTATGTGTGTATGTATTGCTCGCACCTTTTAAAATACGAACAAACTTGTTTGCAGAAAAAAACTTTTACCGAAATGAGTTTGAATGATTTGAATGTTTTTCATTCATTCATTCACATTCTTCCATTTGAAGGTAGAAAATTTAAAACAAAATGTTTATTCATGACTTGCAAAATTACAAACGCTGAGTGTTTTGTATGTGAATTGAAATACTCAAATTTACTGTGCTCTATTTGGCAAGATATTTGAATGAATTCATGCAGCCCTCTAATACATATTTATGTAAATATGTACGTATATGTAAAGAATAAATAAATAAAAAGTGTATCCCGAAAAAGTGAGTCTTTCTTCTTCTATATTTCATCTATTATTTAAGCTATCTGGAAATTTTGGAATAAACTCGTAAAATTTATGCCTTTTTCTCTGTAAATTTTTCGCTTCGAAGCTTTCCGCTTATCTATCATTTTTGTAAGTCATCGTTTCGACATTGAACTCATTTCGCAATTTGCTGCTACTTTTTAAGTTTGCTGATAGCGAGTCGCAAGCGCCATGCCCATCTGTAGGGTGCCATCTTTTGAGAACTGGCCAAGTTTGGTTCCAGCAGCGGTAATTGCAATGTTTGTATTCAACGCTGACCGCAGTAGTGCTCGTATTTGCTGTTCATAGCCGTGCAATCCACACTTGAACATTGTTCGAATGCGGCTTGGAAGTTCATGGAGAACCGGTTGCCAGTTGCGGACTTACGATGGCATTGACGATAAATTGCAAGTAGGTATGCGAGATGCCAACACTAACACACTTGACATGACAGGAATACTAAATAGACGTGTCGGAGGCTATTTTGCAAGTAAAAACGCATAAAACGACAATTAAAACTTGGCCAGACTCACTCACGTTTACAGCTTTAACCTGGCTTAGGCATTGGATGGAGTACTTTATGAGATTTTTATGCCTTCCAAGTTGAATTTTTTTCAGACACAGAGGGGAAACAGCATTGCTGTGCGAGCTTATTCCCGAAAACAAAAAAACTCGCTTAGTTTGCTTTTGAGCGCTTTTACCTGGAACTAGTAACTACAAACCAGTTTGGGAACGTGTGCCTTCTGCGCTGCGCTGCGCTGCTTTTGACGCTACACTTAGCCGCCACTCCAGCGGAAGCCAACTATAATTTAAAAAAGAAATGCGCCAGAAAAATTTGGGCTAACGTTTGCCTTTAATACCTCTGTACTATGGCCTCTGTATATAGGGCTGCCGCCACTTTCACCACTGCCAAAAAAGCACCAGCACAATGTGAGTTTGCAGCGGCTGAACGCCGCGCGAAGATCATGTTGACTTGCCAGGTTAGCGATTATCAGCGAACGAGGAAAGCGCGCTTCGGCGCCAGTTGGAATGGATTGTAAGTTGGAAGTCAGTTGAAGCTTGCCACTGACAGCGCAAAGTACGCGTGTTGATTAAACAAAGTTATTTTATTGTAGTGCGCACTTAGAAAACTTAAAAAGTACACACACACACATACATACGCCGGTAGTAGTATGTCAGATAGCGAAGAGGAGAAACTGTGTTTCCATGGCGTCTGGGTTTGGCTGCTGCCAGCCATTTTCATTGCCGTCGCCGTGGTGTTTTTCTTGTGGCTGCTGCGCAAGTGCATACAGGGTCCGCGTTATCGCAAGGCGAATCGCATCGATGGCAAGGTAGTCATTGTGACGGGCTGCAATACAGGCATCGGCAAGGCAACTGCTCTGGAGCTGGCGCGGCGAGGCGGTCGCATTTACATGGCCTGCCGCGATGCGGTGCGCTGTGAGGCCGCGCGTCTGGAGATCGTAGAGCGTACGGGAAATCAGCATGTCTACAATCGCACACTGGATCTGGCATCGCTGAATTCGGTGCGTCAATTCGCCGCGCGATTTCTCGCCGAGGAGCAGCGCTTGGACATTTTGGTGAATAACGCTGGCATCATGGCTACGCCGCGCAAGCTCACCGCTGACGGCTACGAACAACAGTTGGGTGTCAACCATCTGGGCCACTTTTTGCTGACAAACCTGCTGCTGGAGCGCTTGAAAGCCTGCGCGCCCAGCCGCATTGTGGTTGTGAGCTCAGCCATGTACATCTTTGGGCGCATCAAACGCAATGACCTGAATAGCGAGCGCAGCTATTCGAGCTTCTTTGGCGCCTATTCACAGAGCAAGCTGGCGAATGTGTTGTTTACGCGCAAGTTGGCTGAGCTGCTGGAAGGCACTGGCGTTACGGTGAATTGTTGTCATCCAGGTGTGGTGCGCACTGAGTTGGTGCGGCACATTAAGTTCCCAGGCTTTGGGTTGTTGCACTATTTGGTGAAGTTCTTGTGGAAGTCGCCGGAGGAAGGCGCACAGACGCAGCTGCGCTTGGCGCTCGATCCGGCGTTGGAGAACTCCACAGGCGGCTACTACAGCGACTCGATGCGTTTTCCGCTGCTGCCGCGGGCGAAGTGTAGCGCCACAGCGGACTGGCTGTGGGAGGAGAGCGAAAAACTGGTGGGACTGAAGGTGGGAGGAAAGAGTAACGAAATGGAATCGGTGGCGGTGTCGGTTGCGGTGAATGGCGTGCAATCTTAATGAGCTTTGGATTTTTTTTTACTATTTAGAAAGAATGGTGAATCAAAATAAATGCTTTACAAATATTTTCTATAAAAAAGGGAATTGATTGTGAAAAATGTAGCGAGAGGAATGACAGCTGCTGTTCTACGCGATACATTTCAATATCTTCTCCACTTCTCTTGATTCTGCTTTCATTTTGCTGATTTCGCACAAAAACAGAAAAAAAAAATTGCGCGGCGTTGGAGCGCACACGCCCCCGCAGCGCGAGCAACAAAGGGGCCTAGAGAGCGCACTTTCTACAAATCTGATTTTGCGCTCTGTCTTTCAATCGTCTTGCGGCCAGCGCTTTTTGTTATTCATCAAACCAAAAATTTTGTGTACAAATAGCTTTTATAAATAAATTATCAACTTTACATATGTATGTATGTGTGTACTCATGCGCATTTGTGTGTGTGTGTCACACATTGTTTTCTATACTAATTGTTTACATTTGTATGCGTCAACAATTTATACATATTCTAATTCCTATTTATACAACGAAAAACATGTGCGTGTGTATTTGTATGCGAACAAAAAGTTTTCGCACAAATAAATTCGAAATTTGTATTATATGCAAATTTTTCTACTGAGTCACAACCTTAGCTAAATTAATTCATTTCCGGCAATAGAGCTCTCTGCTATACGGAGGCAAAATAAATTTTCTATTAAATCAAAATAGTGTTGCCACAATTTTTCATGCAGCCTATCAGCCAGCTCAGCTCTGTGGCCCATTTCGCTTGCAGCAACCGCCTAAGCAGCTCAATTAGCCATCATCGACAAGTGGCAGCGAATAAATCTAGGCGCTTGCTCGGCCTACAGCGCGGCCATTCATTATTCATGAGCGTGGATGTGCTACGCCAGTTTGCGCGGATGACTAGCCGCCTATTTATTTAAATTATGTCCACTGAGCTGTCTGTAATCGACCTAATCGTGACACTCAACGCCACCCACGACGTGAGGTCTTTATCGGCGAACAAGTTGACGAGTGGACGGACGGTGGGGCGGGTTGGAGTCCGTTGCAGAAATTATGCAGTGCATTAATGGATTATTTGCAGCTGTTGTTGTTTTGATATAAAACGGCAATTGAGAAGCAGCTGATAGATGGCAACTGCCGACTGTTTATACAACTGAAATGGGCCAGAGCTGATAGGAAAGGTGGAGAGACATATCGTACCTTTGCTGCAAGAGTGTTTGTTAAGTATGAGGAAATGACCAAGTAAAAATTGCATAGCTGTTTTTCTCTGGTTTTTGATTTTTGGATTGTGACACTCTTACAGCAAAGGAACGGTAAGTACATACAAACACATGCTTTGAAGAGATTTCTACATTAACTTTAACAGAATGGTAAAAACCTTGGGACGTTCAAGCCTGAAAATAGTCCATGTATATAAAAAATAGAGCAAAAAATAATATTTGTGTTTAGTTTTCACCCTGTTACTAAAACTATCTTTTATTCAGCCATCATTTTTTACTGACGAATTAAGAAGTTTCTTTTCTCTCTTTTTGAAAAGAGGCCGGCTGAGTTCGAGTGCTTTTGAGATCATTCTAGAACTTGCTAAATGAGATGCTTGCAAAGTGAACTACTTAATTTTTCTTGCTCTTCTACATGCATTCCATTCATTCTTTGTAAGCTATATACGTAGATATGTATGTATGTACGTACGTGACCTCTGAAGGCAAGGTAAATGGAGCGCAGGTAGATTTTTGCATTGACTTTCTTACACTCACCGTGATCGCTCAGCTCTGCAGACGGGTTGGTCTATTAACTTTTGCATTTAGAGCAGGCAATGCCTTTAAGATTACGCGACCGCTGTGGTTGAGTGGTTAGAGGTGCGTATTACCACCACTCCACAGAGCCTGGGTTCGACCATGCCCTTCGGCAGCCGATGGCAAACCTCCGAGTGTATTTTTGCCATGAAAAAAACGGAGGCGGCTGCGTAAAACTGTAGGTCCGTCTATTTGTGTAAAGAAATCAGCGCCCTTTGAGGTGCTATATTATATTAAAACCCTTACTATATAGGGCGCACTTATTTGGAGGTTTTGCTGGACGGATTTTGAAACCAAGCGAACGATGGTAAATTAATTTTTCTGTAGATAACGAGAGCTTATACATACATATGGTTTCAAAATACGAACATGATTACAATTATGAAAATGGATATGAAGAGCCCAACTAAAGGCGAACACAAATACGACCACAAGTACGAAAACATTTGCAGAGCCGAATTCGAAGATAAATACGAACGCGAGACGATCACGAATATGAACACGAAACCCGAGTATGAAGACAAAGACGAATATGAAGACGAATACTAAAACCAAGGTTAAGGTTAATATTAAGCTTAAGATAAATT